TGTATGCATGTATGCGTGTGTGCTCAATAAGAGATAAATATCTCATGGACTTTTATCCTCAAACTGGTTTTGAAATTTGATTTTCAGATCTCAGCCTCCTGAGTAGATAGGATTATTGGTGTGAGCCACCAGTTCCCAGCTCAGAGTATGTCTTGAAAAATGATTTGTGCCAATGGATTCTTTGTTATTGGTAACTTGCATTCCCTGCTGCCTCGGCAGTCTGTTCTTGTAATAAAGTATTCATTCCAGCTTTATCTGGAGTTGTCTGAAGTATAGAGGTGTCCTTCTGAGAATGTAACCAGTTCCAGGCCATAGGCCGAACTGCAGGGGTTCCACATATCAGGTCCAACCACTTGCCTGATATATAAAGAGATGAATAGTTGCAAAGGGCAGAAAAAAAAGGATAATTATGGGCAAAGTAAGCATTTCAACCAATCTTCAGGGTACAAACATAAGTTTTAGGTTTAAGTAGAGAAAGAATAATTGGGGTGTAGTAGAAAAGTATGCATTATTATTAAATAGTCTTGGGCAAAGTGTTGATTACTTCGTCTAGTTTGCCCAAGGCCCCAGGTTCAGTTTCTAGTACTGTAATGACCCCAGTTCTGGTTGATATTTAGAAGAAGTTGTTCTGTTGTCATTTGAGGGGAGCAATCTGGTCAGGATAAGCAAGTCATGGTTGGCTTATGATGGTCTGTCCTGTCAAGACTCTGTTGTTCCTTTCCTTGAGGGTAATTTCTGTCTCTAATAGTAAAGTTATTATCCATCAGTCCTATACTCTCTGGAACCCAAGATGATTGTGGAAGAGATGACTCAGAGTAAAGGAGACAGATACAAATGCAGGCAGAGATGCCAAGCCTTTATCCTGCTTTTAGTTACCCTTGTGACATTTGCAGGTCTCAGTGAGAAGTGAATGTTTTTCAGCAAAAGCAATCCTCAGGGTTTGAGGAGAAGGATGCTATTTTTTAATTTTTTTTTTTGGGGTCCGGTCATGGGGCCTGAACTCTGGGCCTGGGCGCTGTCCCTCAGCTCTTCAGCTCAAGGCTAGCGCTCTACCACTTGAGCCACAGCGCCACTTCC